AACCAGGGAGTCGTGAAGGACCAACACAAGCCAGTCCTTTGCAGCTTTCTTTCATACCACGACACCATGTCATGCACTGACCACCTCTCCGCTTCTTCCAACCAGTCCCAGAGTCGGCAAATAATGCACGACGTGGAATTCTCTGGGACGACATTCGGAGAACATGTCCAAGCCACCGAAGTCGGTGTTTCAAGATGGTGACACCAATTGAATTATCATCTCTGTGCCCGAACACACGATGCCGAACCTCTGCATTACTGACATGGTGTTGCCACTGAATGTCAGCAATCCTTCGGAGACAGCGATGATCGAACACAGAGAGTCGTCTAACGTCCTCAACTCGGAGAGGCCAGGTTTCACAAGCATAGAGCAAAACTGCTCTCACCGACGCGTTGTAGATCCGACCTTTTACAGCCAGACTAACATCACGAAGGCGCCAAAGGTGGCCCAGATTGGCATAAGCCGCTCTGGCTTTCACTATTCGTGCATTGATCTCATCACTCACACCCCACCAGCACTTATGCAGCTACCCAGATACACGAACTTCTCGACTACGTCTATCTGCTCACCATCAGGGTGAGTACAGGATTAGAATCCTGCCAGTCTTGTAGAAGTACTTTGCACTTCGAAGGTGCAAAGCACATACCATACCTACGGACACTGATTGCCAACTGATTAAGTGCGGATTGCATGCCTTGGGCATTATCGCACAGTAAGACAATATCGTCCGCATACTCAAGGTCGAGAAGTCTTTCTCCAGGCAACAGATCCACACCACCATTACATTCATCAGAGCTGTTTCCAGAATGTCATCGATGGCAAAGTTGAAGAGGAATGGTGAGATTGGGCAACCCTGCCTAACCCCACTGCTCGAATGGAACAATGGAGAGAGGTGGTTGTATGCCCTCACTCTGCCTGAGGTGTTTTTATATAGGGCTTTTAGGATGTTAATAAACTTCTCAGGCACACCCTTCTTCAATAGACAATCCCAGAGAACAGTCCTGTCCAACGAATCGAAGGCAGCCCTGATGTCAAGAAACACTACGATTGTTGGCCTTTGATAAGTATGGCGGTGTTCTAACATTTGGCGGAGGGTGAAGATATGATCAATACATCCTCGACCAGAACGAAACCCAGCCTGCTCCTCGCGAGTCAATCTTTCTCGGGTTTTGAACAACCTACGAAGAATGACGGAAGCCAATAGCTTGGACGCAATCGGAAGTAGACTTATCCCCCGATAGTTGTTACAAGGAACGACGTGAACCCTTTTTAAAGATAGGGACAACTATCGACTCATTCCATGACGTTGGTACACTCTCTAGTTCCCAAACCTTTGTAAACAACGTCGTCAATTCCTTAGTCAAAAAGTCACCACCATCTTTAAAAAGAGCCGGAGGTAAGTCATCTGGGCCAGGTGATTTGTAACGCTTCAAGAGTTGGAGTTCCTTGCGGACTTCCTCCTCGTTTGGTGGATCAGTCGTCACCGGCCATGGAGGGCAGGACAGTCTGACCGATGTTGCCGGAGCAGCAGGCCAGTTGAACTGCCCTTCGAAAAATTCTGCCCACTACTTAACAACCTTCGTTTATGGTCAAACTCACGGTCACCCGGAGTAGACCGACGGGCTTCAATGAGTTGTAAGGAACCTGCAGAAACCCAGTGCTTAAAAGCGGGACGTTTCGCAAACCCACAACTGACTGTTCCCGCCATTTTCATGGCGTCATGCAATTGCAACCAATGCTCATCTATACTTTTCGGTGGAGTGGTAGCTAGCCTAGAAGCTAGCTCGGTTCGACACTTACTTGCAACAGAAGTTGCAACCAACTTGCTAACATCAATCCTTTGGTGGTGGTCACTTCGTTGGCCACTGAAAAGTAAGGTAAGATTGGCGAAGACCAAAGCATGGTCAGAGTCCAGATAGGTACTCCAAAAGGAGCGGCAGTCTTGTACACAACCACGCCAGCGGTAGCTGATCGCGATGTGATCAATCTGAGTCCAGGCTTGAGATGCAGAAGGAGGATGCCAGGTGGCACATCGGCGATGACTGTGCCGAAAGTTAGCGCTAACCAGAAACAGGTTGTGGTCTGTGCACAGTTGCAGTAGACGGTCCCCGTTATTTGTCCTGCGACCAACGAGTCTCCATCGGCCACCTAAACGACTCTCTTCAGTGCCTAGACGCCCGACCTGAGCATTCAAGTCTCCGGCTAGTACTACAATATCTGTCGAACGCACTTTCTGGAGAAGAACAGATAACTGGTAGTAGAATTCATTCTTGATTACATTTAGGCTGCAATCTGTCGGGGCATAGGCGAAGATGACGAAGAGACATCGTTTCTCACGCCGATTTTTTCTCACTTTGATGGAACTTTCTAACCTAACAGCACATAACCGACAGTTATTGGGGATCCAATCGATTAGTGCTGTCTCAGCTCTAGAGCTTAGTGCGACACCAACGCCTGCAAGACCAGACGAAGATGCCATAGGGTCCCCGGATAAGCGCACGTAAAACACGCTTTCTGGAGCTACAGACGGAGAGCGAATTTGTAGTACTTCACCAGAGTCTTGAATACGAGTCTCGGATGGACAACAAACGTCGGTATTAAGACTCCCAAAAAACATAGCCAGCTCTATCTATTGTCCGGCGTGAATTAGTGTGCGAACGTTGAAGGCAGTCAGTTTGAATGGTGCATGTGGTTTAAGAAAAACTGCTTCAGTCCTCGTATTCGGTGGTAACATAAAAGTTTTAAACGGGAAGGTGACTCGAGGACGTTTAGATAAAACCGAGTTTCTACCATAGGCGAGCTGCTTTATAAGTCGAAAAATAAGGATACGTAAAGTGGGAATGAAAGAAAGTGAATAAATAACGTAAAAAATAATAATAACAGTGATAATAATAATGATAATGTGAACCGTTTGATTTTTAATCGAAGGAAGACAAGTATTTTCCATAAATACCGACATTTCATCATATTTGTATGAGGGATGTGATACTGCTTGTGTGCCCAGACCGAAGCAGGTGGTTTTCCTAGGAGGCCACACCCTGAGCCTTCGACCTGAAGGTCTGATCCACAAGGCAGTGGAGCATCGTAAGGAGATGCAGTCCCATGGAAGCCGGTGACCAACAATTGGTTCATACGCCATTTGTTCCCGCAGAATACTGGAGCCCATGTGCACCATTGGTTTGGAATCCGGTTAAAGCGCCGATTATTCGCTTTCCGTCCTCTCATTTTCGTAAACAACACCCCACCACGATAAGGCAGTGAGTAGGACTTCGCTGGCAGAGGTTATATACGCGTGGTTATGTGAGAGCATTTCGAGAGGGAGGGCGGGCCCACTTTACTCTCGGCTATACCAGGGCATTTGGGGGCACAGTGAGGGAACGAAAACTAAAATATCCTATCTGACTGTGTTGAACTCGATCAGAAAAATGTACAAAGAAGAACCAATGTATTTATTCCAATAACATGCCTAGAACTGATTATAATAGCTAGAAAAGTATTCTGAGATAATTAAAGTATATAAACAATTTATTAAAAGAGTTTAAATCACTTTCAATCGTCTAGTCTCAAAATAAACTACACAGTAATTTTGGTCAATCATTACAAAATAACAAATGTCCGGCAAGAGGAATCGAATACAACCACACATCTGATGTTTTCAGTTGTACTAACAGGAGATAATCCTTTGTAATGACCATGAAATAACATTGAACCTGAAGATACTGCGGGTATTTGGAGTTTGACAACGCTTTAACCAGTAACACCTAATGTGAATCGTACCCACCAAGTGAAGTCAAAAGACAGAAGCGAGGAGGTTCGAAGATATATTTGATGGGCTATTAATACATCGAGTATCATCTGATCTAATCTGGCTAGCGATTGCAGGGGTTGTTGAGCATGGCGTTCCTACTCGTGATCTGGCGCGGATGCATGGCCGAGCGCCTTCAGCTAGATGAGTCCATTGAAACTAATGTGGTCAGCATCCAATGTCGAAAACTTACAGAGCTGTTTATTTTGGGGATTTATTTACCGCCACAAACTCTTAGCATAAACTTTCCGTTGAGCCAAACTGTCGTCACGTCAGACGGCAGAACATCGGACGTTGAACGATCGATAAAAAGTAATGAAGGTCCTGAGGATGACGTGAGGACATTATCGAGACTACATGTCTTGGTCAAGCGGGCGTGTCCACCGTAACTGTTTCATTTTTTATTAAGTATTTTGTTCCTTGAAGCTCCTTAGAAGATAGTGCCCTTAACTGGCTCGGTAAGATAGGTTAGAATAGAAAATACTGATTTTAGGCCTAAATCTATGAAGACATGTATATTCAACGGTTTCTGTAACGACAAAATAATAACCGAATTTCTTCTTTGTTTCTGACACTTTATATGCAATCAAATTTATATTCAGTATCTATTGTTCCTCTGTAGTCATTGTAAAAAACTGACATTATTGTTTATTTCTGATAATGCACACTACTGATATTATTAGCAATAAACTCTATCTCTGTTCCCAATTTCATATTTCTTATGCACGAACATCACCAAGAATACCGTATTGAAGCAGTTAACCCACACTTAATCAAAGATACAAATCTTTTTTAACTTATGAAGAGAGTAGGCACTAAATAGGTAACTTGAACTTTTAGTCTCCCATCAACCAATGTCGGATCCGATTTTCTTCGGAGGATCTTCAGTTACTGAAACTGCATAGTCGAACAGGTAGTATCAGCTCAACTGGTAAGCATTTTTCAAGAAAAAAGTGGCCCTTTACTGGGAAACGTATATCAAGGATTAAAGCAATCCTACCAACCTACTATCATTACTGCTGAATACATAAACACTGAAATATCGTGAAAGAAAGGCCTGCAACATAAAATCTCCTCACCACAGTAAAGATCTAAATTTTTAAGAATTTTATAATGACTTCTTCTGTAACTAAATGCTTGATAACATGTGCCGAAAAGTGAGCGTTGTATATTGGGAATTGAACACATCGGTTTTCGATCCTGTTTTCAAGAAGCGGGTATATGAAAGTCCGAAAATGTCAAGTCTCAGCTCACGAAGTTCTCGCCGCAGGGGTGCAACAAACGATGAACAGTTGTCAGGTGACCTGTTAAGTGCTGGGACCACGTTTGAACGAACTGGGGAATCAAGTCGTACACGTGGGAGAACACGGCGTAATCGGTCAGGACACACCGAGCCTACAAGCAATGCAGTGAGTTAATTTGCTGGCTGTTTTTCAGAGCTTTGTTTTTCCCAGTACACTACTCTTTCCAGCTAAGATTCTATGGTATCGGTCCGTAAATTAGTATGTTGTCTTACAGTTCTTCACGCGCCAACTTATGTATAGATGACTAGCGCAAAAATTATGAAACTTATCAACAAATTCATTAGTTTGTTGGGTAAATATGCCTATTCAGCATTAGTCGTACTTGTGTTGGCTGTACGCTGCCTCGTTACCTCAAATTCTTACTATCGCCCTAACCTAAAGTATTAGCGCGGTACTAAAAAGAGGGGCTCTAGTCGGTGGTATACGTTAGTATTACAAATAATATAACTTAGTATTTGCGGTATACACAAAGCTTAGCGTTCTCTATTGGTATAAGTCTACATGTTTCGATTGCCTAATTTCCCTCTGCTGCAATTCGTGGTGTAGACTTAGTCCTGTTGACCTGTTTGTGGTCTTATTATATTGAGATTTGGCGAAACTTTAATTTCTGGACGAACCAACTAGATATGGGATAACAGGTCTTGAATTTTGGTGCGGAATTCATTGATTCATTTGACTAAGTAGCGTTCTAGCATTTCAGCTGATGTCAGTTCGTGATGAAAACACTGAATCTAATTACTAACCCTGGCCATCAAGTCGTAACCTGTATTCCTCACACTGATTTATAACCGTCATCTAGCCCAAGTAAGTAGGTGGACGTTATCAAGGTTACTTTAGCGTCGCTCAAAGGTCGTACATAAATTATACTCCCATCACCCCATTTCTCGTTCCTTAACTCATCTGGAAATTATTATGCGTACTGCAGGTTCTCAGTAGACAACGTTTTGGTTGAAAATATGGATGCTGCCGTCTGACGAAACGTTCGCTTCGTTTACATGAAACCAGAAAAATATTAAACAATTATTAAGTACCGTTTGGAGTCTTATGAATGTCTTCAGACTAGAAACCGTGATTTAGTAGACATCCCGTTAAAAGTTTTAAATGAGTTACTAAACAATATGACCAGTTGAGTTTCTCTTTTAGACATACATTTGATTAGTTTTATCAGATCCTGTTTGCCTTCTGCTTTTTATGTTTGAGCTGATGGTATATAAGGTATCCCTGTGTTATCATGGATTTGTTTTGACAGTATTGTTTGTCAGTGTTTGTTACGAAATATATTTGTAGTTAGGATGTTCTATAGTCCTCTCTGATATGGGATTACGTATCCAGGGTACTAGGTAAATATGATAAGTCGGTTGATGAGGTAGTGAATCTTCAGTGACAGGTGTTTAAGACATGAATCACGTATCCCCAACGACCACCGACCTCATTGCTCAGTATTAACGTATCGAAGTAAGTCCGAAAAAAAGCTGGAGGTGAACAAGCTTAGATGTGCCACCAACCCATAAAGTCACTGACCGTTGATCCAAAACATGCTGGTAAGTACATATTACTTGGTTTGAGTTCGCTCCATACCGGCGGTCAATGGTTGAAGAAGTTAGATCGTATAACTCGGAATAGGTCATAATGAAGCAGATTCAGCCACTCGTTTTCATCCCTTAGGTCATGAGTTTCAAAGTTGTTTTACACAGTTCTGTGAATTCATCCTCATATCACATTCCATATGCCTTTTCCTTTTTACTGTAACTGATATTTTTACCCCCTACTACTTTTATATTTATCTCGATAATTTCGTCTCTGTACAGATACGATGTGTTAATTCAAGCCGATACACATGTACCAGTTTATACTTTCCGTATGACTGACTTAATTATTAGTTATTAAGTCACTGGAATTTCAGTAAAATAAATCGTCATTACTATTTTTGTCCGTCCAAAATTTGTGTCTTGAAGTTTGCTCATCCTTTAAATGCTTGTAACCGACGGATTCATTTTTTTCACAGGAACCCACATCCGGTCTTCGTACATCCGAAGTGGAGCCGGGTAGTCCTTTATCATACAGCGATATGTCTAGTGTGGCGACTGGGGTCGAAGATGTTTTGAGTTCAGTTCGACCTGGTGTCAATGATGAACTGGCTGTTCGTGCTGTTTTGTCTCAATCTGGACCTCTTGTTCCCGCAACAGGTGTCCCTGGTACTACTGATGGGTCGACTGCTAGTGGACCTCAGGTAAGAAATACTTTTGTATATTTTCTATGCTTAACTCTTGCTTTGTACAGTTATTTTTATTGTGAACTTTTATCATCATCCTATTAACCATACTTGAGCATGCATTGGTATTATGGGATAAAATTTCGTATCAAATTTGTGGCTTTTTCATATTAGGTAGCAATATGTAAATACGTCAATCCACGGCCCTCTAGACTAAGCACATTTCAGCATTCAAATAAAGCACTTATAGAACTTGATTGTTCACACACAGGTGATACATGTTGTTACTGGTTACTGGATTAATATTCCATTGGTACAAGCCAGTACTATAACCGACTTCCCACGTCATCGGAGTTGAGTTTTGAAAGATGATCCACTCAGCCATCCAAACTTTGAACTAAAAAATTTCTTACCTATATCAGAGTTGTAGATCATAAGCAAGAAGGACATCTCGTGCCTTGTATACTACAAGCAAATTATTTAACGAACAGGATACACCAAGGTTGGTAGTAATAAACATTACACTACAACGGTTGTTAAATCACTAGCGAAAAAAGCAGAATCGAGACGTTTGGAAATGAAGATGTTCACGTTTATTTCGACAAAAATAAAACAAAAAAAGGTAGGCTCATCTACAGACATAGTTGTTTTTAGTAGTTGTACGTACAATATATTCCTAAAACTTTGCTTTTTCAATGAACATACCAAAAATTAAGCTTTTTAACTCTACTGAGCGCACTATACGGGTTTCTATGTTGAACATTTTGTTACATCCGATATCAATTAGGTCTTGGAGATAATGCGGTTACCATTTCATCCCCTCTAATAATCTGAAGGTAGGCGTTAACAATAATTTATCCTTATTCTACATATTTACACTTTTTACCAAATTACTAACCTGTTTTAGACTGTAATATGGGGTACCGATGTAAACATTGCTCAAGTGATGTCAAGATTTAAACACTTCCTATTGACCTACATCCCTCCAGACTTAACCGGTCAACCGAATCTAACAACAGGTCAACCCATAAATCCACAAAGACCTCTTTATATCCAACGAATGGAAGATCTTGCAATATCAGGTTCGACTGCCTTAGACATTGACTGTGAACATCTTCGTTCTGCCAGGCCAGATTTGTATACGCAGTTGGTAACATTTCCGAAGGAAGTTATTCCAGCATGTGATGCTGCTACACACGCCTTATTTTTAGACCGTTTTCGGGAAGTCCAGTTGGAAAGATCAATACAGGTATTTCGGATATATATCAAGATAGCTCTGTGTTTATGTAAATATTGCTTTTAACTATTAGAAATTTTAATATGGTTTAATCCTCACTTATGGAAATTCAACAGTGATATTGAACTGAATTCGAAAGAAAAATGTATTGAATGGGCTATTATTTTAATATACCACATAGTAGTTCCCCTTGTTACTAGATAAATAAACAAATGAAAACGAAAAGATACTGGGCGAAAACTACATTGAACAGTTCAGATAAATAAAAAAACTTTTCCATAACTAGAAAGGGACTACTAGAATGACGAGTGTGCTTCAAATATCTTATATGTCGTTCCATTTGTCAGTTTTGTTGCAGATTTGTAGATTTCACTTCAAGCAGTTTCAGATCTCGAAATGACACTAATTATGTTATCACCATTATAGCTGAGCACACATAACCGGACCTTGACATTGCTTAGATTGTCACCACCATATGTAAGCAATTCTTCAGAAGCAGGGATATTTGAACATAGAGTTACCGAACACCTTGAGTCTAGGCAGGTTAGGTTTCATAATCGTAGGGGGTGGGGATTATTATTTTAACAGAAAGATATTGGTACAAGGAGGCACCAAATACATGTGCGCCACACAAATCTCATTCGATATGTGTGAGGGCTGTGATACTGCCAGGGTGCCCCCAAACCGAAGCAGGTGGTTTCCTTAGGGGCCACTCCCCGAGCCTTCGACCTGAAGGTCTGATCCACAAGGCAGTGGAGCATCGTAAGGAGATGCAGTCCCATGGAAGCCGGTGACCAACAATTGGTTCATACGCCATTTGTTCCCGCAGAATACTGGAGCCCATGTGCACCATTGGTTTGGAATCCGGTTAAAGCGCCGATTATTCGCTTTCCGTCCTCTCATTTTCGTAAACAACACCCCACCACGATAAGGCAGTGAGTAGGACTTCGCTGGCAGAGGTTATATACGCGTGGTTATGTGAGAGCATTTCGAGAGGGAGGGCGGGCCCACTTTACTCTCGGCTATACCAGGGCATTTGGGGGCACAGTGAGGGAACGAAAACTAAAATATCCTATCTGACTGTGTTGAACTCGATCAGAAAAATGTACAAAGAAGAACCAATGTATTTATTCCAATAACATGCCTAGAACTGATTATAATAGCTAGAAAAGTATTCTGAGATAATTAAAGTATATAAACAATTTATTAAAAGAGTTTAAATCACTTTCAATCGTCTAGTCTCAAAATAAACTACACAGTAATTTTGGTCAATCATTACAAAATAACAAATGTCCGGCAAGAGGAATCGAATACAACCACACATCTGATGTTTTCAGTTGTACTAACAGGAGATAATCCTTTGTAATGACCATGAAATAACATTGAACCTGAAGATACTGCGGGTATTTGGAGTTTGACAACGCTTTAACCAGTAACACCTAATGTGAATCGTACCCACCAAGTGAAGTCAAAAGACAGAAGCGAGGAGGTTCGAAGATATATTTGATGGGCTATTAATACATCGAGTATCATCTGATCTAATCTGGCTAGCGATTGCAGGGGTTGTTGAGCATGGCGTTCCTACTCGTGATCTGGCGCGGATGCATGGCCGAGCGCCTTCAGCTAGATGAGTCCATTGAAACTAATGTGGTCAGCATCCAATGTCGAAAACTTACAGAGCTGTTTATTTTGGGGATTTATTTACCGCCACAAACTCTTAGCATAAACTTTCCGTTGAGCCAAACTGTCGTCACGTCAGACGGCAGAACATCGGACGTTGAACGATCGATAAAAAGTAATGAAGGTCCTGAGGATGACGTGAGGACATTATCGAGACTACATGTCTTGGTCAAGCGGGCGTGTCCACCGTAACTGTTTCATTTTTTATTAAGTATTTTGTTCCTTGAAGCTCCTTAGAAGATAGTGCCCTTAACTGGCTCGGTAAGATAGGTTAGAATAGAAAATACTGATTTTAGGCCTAAATCTATGAAGACATGTATATTCAACGGTTTCTGTAACGACAAAATAATAACCGAATTTCTTCTTTGTTTCTGACACTTTATATGCAATCAAATTTATATTCAGTATCTATTGTTCCTCTGTAGTCATTGTAAAAAACTGACATTATTGTTTATTTCTGATAATGCACACTACTGATATTATTAGCAATAAACTCTATCTCTGTTCCCAATTTCATATTTCTTATGCACGAACATCACCAAGAATACCGTATTGAAGCAGTTAACCCACACTTAATCAAAGATACAAATCTTTTTTAACTTATGAAGAGAGTAGGCACTAAATAGGTAACTTGAACTTTTAGTCTCCCATCAACCAATGTCGGATCCGATTTTCTTCGGAGGATCTTCAGTTACTGAAACTGCATAGTCGAACAGGTAGTATCAGCTCAACTGGTAAGCATTTTTCAAGAAAAAAGTGGCCCTTTACTGGGAAACGTATATCAAGGATTAAAGCATTCCTACCAACCTACTATCATTACTGCTGAATACATAAACACTGAAATATCGTGAAAGAAAGGCCTGCAACATAAAATCTCCTCACCACAGTAAAGATCTAAATTTTTAAGAATTTTATAATGACTTCTTCTGTAACTAAATGCTTGATAACATGTGCCGAAAAGTGAGCGTTGTATATTGGGAATTGAACACATCGGTTTTCGATCCTGTTTTCAAGAAGCGGGTATATGAAAGTCCGAAAATGTCAAGTCTCAGCTCACGAAGTTCTCGCCGCAGGGGTGCAACAAACGATGAACAGTTGTCAGGTGACCTGTTAAGTGCTGGGACCACGTTTGAACGAACTGGGGAATCAAGTCGTACACGTGGGAGAACACGGCGTAATCGGTCAGGACACACCGAGCCTACAAGCAATGCAGTGAGTTAATTTGCTGGCTGTTTTTCAGAGCTTTGTTTTTCCCAGTACACTACTCTTTCCAGCTAAGATTCTATGGTATCGGTCCGTAAATTAGTATGTTGTCTTACAGTTCTTCACGCGCCAACTTATGTATAGATGACTAGCGCAAAAATTATGAAACTTATCAACAAATTCATTAGTTTGTTGGGTAAATATGCCTATTCAGCATTAGTCGTACTTGTGTTGGCTGTACGCTGCCTCGTTACCTCAAATTCTTACTATCGCCCTAACCTAAAGTATTAGCGCGGTACTAAAAAGAGGGGCTCTAGTCGGTGGTATACGTTAGTATTACAAATAATATAACTTAGTATTTGCGGTATACACAAAGCTTAGCGTTCTCTATTGGTATAAGTCTACATGTTTCGATTGCCTAATTTCCCTCTGCTGCAATTCGTGGTGTAGACTTAGTCCTGTTGACCTGTTTGTGGTCTTATTATATTGAGATTTGGCGAAACTTTAATTTCTGGACGAACCAACTAGATATGGGATAACAGGTCTTGAATTTTGGTGCGGAATTCATTGATTCATTTGACTAAGTAGCGTTCTAGCATTTCAGCTGATGTCAGTTCGTGATGAAAACACTGAATCTAATTACTAACCCTGGCCATCAAGTCGTAACCTGTATTCCTCACACTGATTTATAACCGTCATCTAGCCCAAGTAAGTAGGTGGACGTTATCAAGGTTACTTTAGCGTCGCTCAAAGGTCGTACATAAATTATACTCCCATCACCCCATTTCTCGTTCCTTAACTCATCTGGAAATTATTATGCGTACTGCAGGTTCTCAGTAGACAACGTTTTGGTTGAAAATATGGATGCTGCCGTCTGACGAAACGTTCGCTTCGTTTACATGAAACCAGAAAAATATTAAACAATTATTAAGTACCGTTTGGAGTCTTATGAATGTCTTCAGACTAGAAACCGTGATTTAGTAGACATCCCGTTAAAAGTTTTAAATGAGTTACTAAACAATATGACCAGTTGAGTTTCTCTTTTAGACATACATTTGATTAGTTTTATCAGATCCTGTTTGCCTTCTGCTTTTTATGTTTGAGCTGATGGTATATAAGGTATCCCTGTGTTATCATGGATTTGTTTTGACAGTATTGTTTGTCAGTGTTTGTTACGAAATATATTTGTAGTTAGGATGTTCTATAGTCCTCTCTGATATGGGATTACGTATCCAGGGTACTAGGTAAATATGATAAGTCGGTTGATGAGGTAGTGAATCTTCAGTGACAGGTGTTTAAGACATGAATCACGTATCCCCAACGACCACCGACCTCATTGCTCAGTATTAACGTATCGAAGTAAGTCCGAAAAAAAGCTGGAGGTGAACAAGCTTAGATGTGCCACCAACCCATAAAGTCACTGACCGTTGATCCAAAACATGCTGGTAAGTACATATTACTTGGTTTGAGTTCGCTCCATACCGGCGGTCAATGGTTGAAGAAGTTAGATCGTATAACTCGGAATAGGTCATAATGAAGCAGATTCAGCCACTCGTTTTCATCCCTTAGGTCATGAGTTTCAAAGTTGTTTTACACAGTTCTGTGAATTCATCCTCATATCACATTCCATATGCCTTTTCCTTTTTACTGTAACTGATATTTTTACCCCCTACTACTTTTATATTTATCTCGATAATTTCGTCTCTGTACAGATACGATGTGTTAATTCAAGCCGATACACATGTACCAGTTTATACTTTCCGTATGACTGACTTAATTATTAGTTATTAAGTCACTGGAATTTCAGTAAAATAAATCGTCATTACTATTTTTGTCCGTCCAAAATTTGTGTCTTGAAGTTTGCTCATCCTTTAAATGCTTGTAACCGACGGATTCATTTTTTTCACAGGAACCCACATCCGGTCTTCGTACATCCGAAGTGGAGCCGGGTAGTCCTTTATCATACAGCGATATGTCTAGTGTGGCGACTGGGGTCGAAGATGTTTTGAGTTCAGTTCGACCTGGTGTCAATGATGAACTGGCTGTTCGTGCTGTTTTGTCTCAATCTGGACCTCTTGTTCCCGCAACAGGTGTCCCTGGTACTACTGATGGGTCGACTGCTAGTGGACCTCAGGTAAGAAATACTTTTGTATATTTTCTATGCTTAACTCTTGCTTTGTACAGTTATTTTTATTGTGAACTTTTATCATCATCCTATTAACCATACTTGAGCATGCATTGGTATTATGGGATAAAATTTCGTATCAAATTTGTGGCTTTTTCATATTAGGTAGCAATATGTAAATACGTCAATCCACGGCCCTCTAGACTAAGCACATTTCAGCATTCAAATAAAGCACTTATAGAACTTGATTGTTCACACACAGGTGATACATGTTGTTACTGGTTACTGGATTAATATTCCATTGGTACAAGCCAGTACTATAACCGACTTCCCACGTCATCGGAGTTGAGTTTTGAAAGATGATCCACTCAGCCATCCAAACTTTGAACTAAAAAATTTCTTACCTATATCAGAGTTGTAGATCATAAGCAAGAAGGACATCTCGTGCCTTGTATACTACAAGCAAATTATTTAACGAACAGGATACACCAAGGTTGGTAGTAATAAACATTACACTACAACGGTTGTTAAATCACTAGCGAAAAAAGCAGAATCGAGACGTTTGGAAATGAAGATGTTCACGTTTATTTCGACAAAAATAAAACAAAAAAAGGTAGGCTCATCTACAGACATAGTTGTTTTTAGTAGTTGTACGTACAATATATTCCTAAAACTTTGCTTTTTCAATGAACATACCAAAAATTAAGCTTTTTAACTCTACTGAGCGCACTATACGGGTTTCTATGTTGAACATTTTGTTACATCCGATATCAATTAGGTCTTGGAGATAATGCGGTTACCATTTCATCCCCTCTAATAATCTGAAGGTAGGCGTTAACAATAATTTATCCTTATTCTACATATTTACACTTTTTACCAAATTACTAACCTGTTTTAGACTGTAATATGGGGTACCGATGTAAACATTGCTCAAGTGATGTCAAGATTTAAACACTTCCTATTGACCTACATCCCTCCAGACTTAACCGGTCAACCGAATCTAACAACAGGTCAACCCATAAATCCACAAAGACCTCTTTATATCCAACGAATGGAAGATCTTGCAATATCAGGTTCGACTGCCTTAGACATTGACTGTGAACATCTTCGTTCTGCCAGGCCAGATTTGTATACGCAGTTGGTAACATTTCCGAAGGAAGTTATTCCAGCATGTGATGCTGCTACACACGCCTTATTTTTAGACCGTTTTCGGGAAGTCCAGTTGGAAAGATCAATACAGGTATTTCGGATATATATCAAGATAGCTCTGTGTTTATGTAAATATTGCTTTTAACTATTAGAAATTTTAATATGGTTTAATCCTCACTTATGGAAATTCAACAGTGATATTGAACTGAATTCGAAAGAAAAATGTATTGAATGGGCTATTATTTTAATATACCACATAGTAGTTCCCCTTGTTACTAGATAAATAAACAAATGAAAACGAAAAGATACTGGGCGAAAACTACATTGAACAGTTCAGATAAATAAAAAAACTTTTCCATAACTAGAAAGGGACTACTAGAATGACGAGTGTGCTTCAAATATCTTATATGTCGTTCCATTTGTCAGTTTTGTTGCAGATTTGTAGATTTCACTTCAAGCAGTTTCAGATCTCGAAATGACACTAATTATGTTATCACCATTATAGCTGAGCACACATAACCGGACCTTGACATTGCTTAGATTGTCACCACCATATGTAAGCAATTCTTCAGAAGCAGGGATATTTGAACATAGAGTTACCGAACACCTTGAGTCTAGGCAGGTTAGGTTTCATAATCGTAGGGGGTGGGGATTATTATTTTAACAGAAAGATATTGGTACAAGGAGGCACCAAATACATGTGCGCCACACAAATCTCATTCGATATGTGTGAGGGCTGTGATACTGCCAGGGTGCCCCCAAACCGAAGCAGGTGGTTTCCTTAGGGGCCACTCCCCGAGCCTTCGACCTGAAGGTCTGATCCACAAGGCAGTGGAGCATCGTAAGGAGATGCAGTCCCATGGAAGCCGGTGACCAACAATTGGTTCATACGCCATTTGTTCCCGCAGAATACTGGAGCCCATGTGCACCATTGGTTTGGAATCCGGTTAAAGCGCCGATTATTCGCTTTCCGTCCTCTCATTTTCGTAAACAACACCCCACCACGATAAGGCAGTGAGTAGGACTTCGCTGGCAGAGGTTATATACGCGTGGTTATGTGAGAGCATTTCGAGAGGGAGGGCGGGCCCACTTTACTCTCGGCTATACCAGGGCATTTGGGGGCACAGTGAGGGAACGAAAACTAAAATATCCTATCTGACTGTGTTGAACTCGATCAGAAAAATGTACAAAGAAGAACCAATGTATTTATTCCAATAACATGCCTAGAACTGATTATAATAGCTAGAAAAGTATTCTGAGATAATTAAAGTATATAAACAATTTATTAAAAGAGTTTAAATCACTTTCAATCGTCTAGTCTCAAAATAAACTACACAGTAATTTTGGTCAATCATTACAAAATAACAAATGTCCGGCAAGAGGAATCGAATACAACCACACATCTGATGTTTTCAGTTGTACTAACAGGAGATAATCCTTTGTAATGACCATGAAATAACATTGAACCTGAAGATACTGCGGGTATTTGGAGTTTGACAACGCTTTAACCAGTAACACCTAATGTGAATCGTACCCACCAAGTGAAGTCAAAAGACAGAAGCGAGGAGGTTCGAAGATATATTTGATGGGCTATTAATACATCGAGTATCATCTGATCTAATCTGGCTAGCGATTGCAGGGGTTGTTGAGCATGGCGTTCCTACTCGTGATCTGGCGCGGATGCATGGCCGAGCGCCTTCAGCTAGATGAGTCCATTGAAACTAATGTGGTCAGCATCCAATGTCGAAAACTTACAGAGCTGTTTATTTTGGGGATTTATTTACCGCCACAAACTCTTAGCATAAACTTTCCGTTGAGCCAAACTGTCGTCACGTCAGACGGCAGAACATCGGACGTTGAACGATCGATAAAAAGTAATGAAGGTCCTGAGGATGACGTGAGGACATTATCGAGACTACATGTCTTGGTCAAGCGGGCGTGTCCACCGTAACTGTTTCATTTTTTATTAAGTATTTTGTTCCTTGAAGCTCCTTAGAAGATAGTGCCCTTAACTGGCTCGGTAAGATAGGTTAGAATAGAAAATACTGATTTTAGGCCTAAATCTATGAAGACATGTATATTCAACGGTTTCTGTAACGACAAAATAATAACCGAATTTCTTCTTTGTTTCTGACACTTTATATGCAATCAAATTTATATTCAGTATCTATTGTTCCTCTGTAGTCATTGTAAAAAACTGACATTATTGTTTATTTCTGATAATGCACACTACTGATATTATTAGCAATAAACTCTATCTCTGTTCCCAATTTCATATTTCTTATGCACGAACATCACCAAGAATACCGTATTGAAGCAGTTAACCCACACTTAATCAAAGATACAAATCTTTTTTAACTTATGAAGAGAGTAGGCACTAAATAGGTAACTTGAACTTTTAGTCTCCCATCAACCAATGTCGGATCCGATTTTCTTCGGAGGATCTTCAGTTACTGAAACTGCATAGTCGAACAGGTAGTATCAGCTCAACTGGTAAGCATTTTTCAAGAAAAAAGTGGCCCTTTACTGGGAAACGTATATCAAGGATTAAAGCATTCCTACCAACCTACTATCATTACTGCTGAATACATAAACACTGAAATATCGTGAAAGAAAGGCCTGCAACATAAAATCTCCTCACCACAGTAAAGATCTAAATTTTTAAGAATTTTATAATGACTTCTTCTGTAACTAAATGCTTGATAACATGTGCCGAAAAGTGAGCGTTGTATATTGGGAATTGAACACATCGGTTTTCGATCCTGTTTTCAAGAAGCGGGTATATGAAAGTCCGAAAATGTCAAGTCTCAGCTCACGAAGTTCTCGCCGCAGGGGTGCAACAAACGATGAACAGTTGTCAGGTGACCTGTTAAGTGCTGGGACCACGTTTGAACGAACTGGGGAATCAAGTCGTACACGTGGGAGAACACGGCGTAATCGGTCAGGACACACCGAGCCTACAAGCAATGCAGTGAGTTAATTTGCTGGCTGTTTTTCAGAGCTTTGTTTTTCCCAGTACACTACTCTTTCCAGCTAAGATTCTATGGTATCGGTCCGTAAATTAGTATGTTGTCTTACAGTTCTTCACGCGCCAACTTATGTATAGATGACTAGCGCAAAAATTATGAAACTTATCAACAAATTCATTAGTTTGTTGGGTAAATATGCCTATTCAGCATTAGTCGTACTTGTGTTGGCTGTACGCTGCCTCGTTACCTCAAATTCTTACTATCGCCCTAACCTAAAGTATTAGCGCGGTACTAAAAAGAGGGGCTCTAGTCGGTGGTATACGTTAGTATTACAAATAATATAACTTAGTATTTGCGGTATACACAAAGCTTAGCGTTCTCTATTGGTATAAGTCTACATGTTTCGATTGCCTAATTTCCCTCTGCTGCAATTCGTGGTGTAGACTTAGTCCTGTTGACCTGTTTGTGGTCTTATTATATTGAGATTTGGCGAAACTTTAATTTCTGGACGAACCAACTAGATATGGGATAACAGGTCTTGAATTTTGGTGCGGAATTCATTGATTCATTTGACTAAGTAGCGTTCTAGCATTTCAGCTGATGTCAGTTCGTGATGAAAACACTGAATCTAATTACTAACCCTGGCCATCAAGTCGTAACCTGTATTCCTCACACTGATTTATAACCGTCATCTAGCCCAAGTAAGTAGGTGGACGTTATCAAGGTTACTTTAGCGTCGCTCAAAGGTCGTACATAAATTATACTCCCATCACCCCATTTCTCGTTCCTTAACTCATCTGGAAATTATTATGCGTACTGCAGGTTCTCAGTAGACAACGTTTTGGTTGAAAATATGGATGCTGCCGTCTGACGAAACGTTCGCTTCGTTTACATGAAACCAGAAAAATATTAAACAATTATTAAGTACCGTTTGGAGTCTTATGAATGTCTTCAGACTAGAAACCGTGATTTAGTAGACATCCCGTTAAAAGTTTTAAATGAGTTACTAAACAATATGACCAGTTGAGTTTCTCTTTTAGACATACATTTGATTAGTTTTATCAGATCCTGTTTGCCTTCTGCTTTTTATGTTTGAGCTGATGGTATATAAGGTATCCCTGTGTTATCATGGATTTGTTTTGACAGTATTGTTTGTCAGTGTTTGTTACGAAATATATTTGTAGTTAGGATGTTCTATAGTCCTCTCTGATATGGGATTACGTATCCAGGGTACTAGGTAAATATGATAAGTCGGTTGATGAGGTAGTGAATCTTCAGTGACAGGTGTTTAAGACATGAATCACGTATCCCCAACGACCACCGACCTCATTGCTCAGTATTAACGTATCGAAGTAAGTCCGAAAAAAAGCTGGAGGTGAACAAGCTTAGATGTGCCACCAACCCATAAAGTCACTGACCGTTGATCCAAAACATGCTGGTAAGTACATATTACTTGGTTTGAGTTCGCTCCATACCGGCGGTCAATGGTTGAAGAAGTTAGATCGTATAACTCGGAATAGGTCATAATGAAGCAGATTCAGCCACTCGTTTTCATCCCTTAGGTCATGAGTTTCAAAGTTGTTTTACACAGTTCTGTGAATTCATCCTCATATCACATTCCATATGCCTTTTCCTTTTTACTGTAACTGATATTTTTACCCCCTACTACTTTTATATTTATCTCGATAATTTCGTCTCTGTACAGATACGATGTGTTAATTCAAGCCGATACACATGTACCAGTTTATACTTTCCGTATGACTGACTTAATTATTAGTTATTAAGTCACTGGAATTTCAGTAAAATAAATCGTCATTACTATTTTTGTCCGTCCAAAATTTGTGTCTTGAAGTTTGCTCATCCTTTAAATGCTTGTAACCGACGGATTCATTTTTTTCACAGGAACCCACATCCGGTCTTCGTACATCCGAAGTGGAGCCGGGTAGTCCTTTATCATACAGCGATATGTCTAGTGTGGCGACTGGGGTCGAAGATGTTTTGAGTTCAGTTCGACCTGGTGTCAATGATGAACTGGCTGTTCGTGCTGTTTTGTCTCAATCTGGACCTCTTGTTCCCGCAACAGGTGTCCCTGGTACTACTGATGGGTCGACTGCTAGTGGACCTCAGGTAAGAAATACTTTTGTATATTTTCTATGCTTAACTCTTGCTTTGTACAGTTATTTTTATTGTGAACTTTTATCATCATCCTATTAACCATACTTGAGCATGCATTGGTATTATGGGATAAAATTTCGTATCAAATTTGTGGCTTTTTCATATTAGGTAGCAATATGTAAATACGTCAATCCACGGCCCTCTAGACTAAGCACATTTCAGCATTCAAATAAAGCACTTATAGAACTTGATTGTTCACACACAGGTGATACATGTTGTTACTGGTTACTGGATTAATATTCCATTGGTACAAGCCAGTACTATAACCGACTTCCACGTCATCGGAGTTGAGTTTTGAAAGATGATCCACTCAGCCATCCAAACTTTGAACTAAAAAATTTCTTACCTATATCAGAGTTGTAGATCATAAGCAAGAAGGACATCTCGTGCCTTGTATACTACAAGCAAATTATTTAACGAACAGGATACACCAAGGTTGGTAGTAATAAACATTACACTACAACGGTTGTTAAATCACTAGCGAAAAAAGCAGAATCGAGACGTTTGGAAATGAAGATGTTCACGTTTATTTCGACAAAAATAAAACAAAAAAAGGTAGGCTCATCTACAGACATAGTTGTTTTTAGTAGTTGTACGTACAATATATTCCTAAAACTTTGCTTTTTCAATGAACATACCAAAAATTAAGCTTTTTAACTCTACTGAGCGCACTATACGGGTTTCTATGTTGAACATTTTGTTACATCCGATATCAATTAGGTCTTGGAGATAATGCGGTTACCATTTCATCCCCTCTAATAATCTGAAGGTAGGCGTTAACAATAATTTATCCTTATTCTACATATTTACACTTTTTACCAAATTACTAACCTGTTTTAGACTGTAATATGGGGTACCGATGTAAACATTGCTCAAGTGATGTCAAGATTTAAACACTTCCTATTGACCTACATCCCTCCAGACTTAACCGGTCAACCGAATCTAACAACAGGTCAACCCATAAATCCACAAAGACCTCTTTATATCCAACGAATGGAAGATCTTGCAATATCAGGTTCGACTGCCTTAGACATTGACTGTGAACATCTTCGTTCTGCCAGGCCAGATTTGTATACGCAGTTGGTAACATTTCCGAAGGAAGTTATTCCAGCATGTGATGCTGCTACACACGCCTTATTTTTAGACCGTTTTCGGGAAGTCCAGTTGGAAAGATCAATACAGGTATTTCGGATATATATCAAGATAGCTCTGTGTTTATGTAAATATTGCTTTTAACTATTAGAAATTTTAATATGGTTTAATCCTCACTTATGGAAATTCAACAGTGATATTGAACTGAATTCGAAAGAAAAATGTATTGAATGGGCTATTATTTTAATATACCACATAGTAGTTCCCCTTGTTACTAGATAAATAAACAAATGAAAACGAAAAGATACTGGGCGAAAACTACATTGAACAGTTCAGATAAATAAAAAAACTTTTCCATAACTAGAAAGGGACTACTAGAATGACGAGTGTGCTTCAAATATCTTATATGTCGTTCCATTTGTCAGTTTTGTTGCAGATTTGTAGATTTCACTTCAAGCAGTTTCAGATCTCGAAATGACACTAATTATGTTATCACCATTATAGCTGAGCACACATAACCGGACCTTGACATTGCTTAGATTGTCACCACCATATGTAAGCAATTCTTCAGAAGCAGGGATATTTGAACATAGAGTTACCGAACACCTTGAGTCTAGGCAGGTTAGGTTTCATAATCGTAGGGGGTGGGGATTATTATTTTAACAGAAAGATATTGGTACAAGGAGGCACCAAATACATGTGCGCCACACAAATCTCATTCGATATGTGTGAGGGCTGTGATACTGCCAGGGTGCCCCCAAACCGAAGCAGGTGGTTTCCTTAGGGGCCACTCCCCGAGCCTTCGACCTGAAGGTCTGATCCACAAGGCAGTGGAGCATCGTAAGGAGATGCAGTCCCATGGAAGCCGGTGACCAACAATTGGTTCATACGCCATTTGTTCCCGCAGAATACTGGAGCCCATGTGCACCATTGGTTTGGAATCCGGTTAAAGCGCCGATTATTCGCTTTCCGTCCTCTCATTTTCGTAAACAACACCCCACCACGATAAGGCAGTGAGTAGGACTTCGCTGGCAGAGGTTATATACGCGTGGTTATGTGGGAGCATTTCGAGAGGGAGGGCGGGCCCACTTTACTCTCGGCTATACCAGGGCATTTGGGGGCAGGGTGTGGGGAACTGGAAAATTATTTCAAAGCGAGTTGCTTAAAACATTATGGATGATAAACTAAATACTTGAGGGAGGGTGTTTAAGATCTTTAGGGTATTAAAACATTTGAAGGGGTTGTTTTTCTATTTTTTTATGCCTGACTGATTCTGAAGAAGGATTTGTCTCTAGAATGGATCCACAAAAACTATTGAACTTTCTTGGTGTGAATCGAGACTACATTCTGATGTATTTCTTTGAATCACCATAAAGTCTGTAAGTTTAGTTTTTTGTCGTATTTCACTCCTGTATTTTCGCTTACGAATGCTGACAGTAACTTATATGAAGACATCGTAAGCCTTAACAACCATAAGATTGAAAGTTTGTAGTCCTTTTAAAGCGTAATTTTGATGTGAAACAATCCAGGTATTATGTCAATCTCCATTCGAAGTTAATACTATCGAATAACCAATGGAGTTTACCTAAAGCAAGTTTAGTGATGTAAGGAATTCAAGTGTTATTAAATACATGTAATAATTTCTATCGAGAGAAGTTAACGCTTCGTTATTTTAAATCCTAAACAAAAAGCACAAACTAAATAGGGTGTTTTTTCCACAAGTCTCGTTCATCTAGGAAAGATTTTACAGTGATATGTGAAGTGAACTCGGCTCAATATCAGGTCGGAGAATATCCATATTTATCACTAGTGATCTTAGTTATTCCTAATGATACTCATCGTTGATTTGTTCATCTTCAGTAAGTTCTAGGGAAGGTATCTTATACGTAGATCGGTTACAATTAGATGTTAAAAAAATTTAAGCTAATATTATTCAAAGTATTAATACGATATTATCTTCATTTTTTAAAAGTTGGATTCACCGTTTCTTATTGTACAAGATAGAAATATTGTAACGTCGTTTAAGAAATCAACCTTTGATTCTGGTTAGTTGTCTCATTCTTACTGTTTTTTCTTCAGATTCGTCCATTCAATTGTGCAAGATCTCGAGATCTACGCAGTCTCGATCCAGATGATCTTGATCAACTTGTAACTGTCTCTGGTCTTGTAATACGTTTATCCCCGCTCATCCCTGAAATGATGCGTGCAGAGTTCAAATGTGCCATCTGTGGTGCAATGACATCTGTTCCATGTGAACGTGGTCGTATTGCAGAACCAGAAGCGTGCATACGTTGTCATTCGGCTCACACAGCTCAACTACAACATAATCGATGTTTATTTGTGGATAAACAAATGATCAAATTACAGGTTTGTACTAGTATTTTTGTTATGCCTCTGAATCAGACTTCATTATATATATATATATATATATATATATATATATATATATATATATATATATAATTTCGATTAGATTTACAGTTGTTTTAATGTAATTTGAATTGAGGGCCGGACGTGATATTTGTGGGGTCAAGTTTGCCAATTGTGGTATATTTTTATGTAATTACCCTTGTGACAGGTGTTTCTTTACCATTATAGTCTAATTCCTACTTTCGTAAATTCTTATCTAGGAATCTCCAGAAAATATGCCTGCTAGCCAGACTCCTCATACAGTACTTATGTATGCTCACGAAGAACTTGTTGATAAAATTCAACCGGGTGATCGTGTTATCGTTACGGGTATTTATCGTGCAATACCACTGCGAATGTCTAACCGACAACGTACTCTTAAGGCGGTTTACAAAACATATATAGATGTTCTTCATTTTCTGTAAGTTTTAGTGTTTTTATTGTTTTTTAGTTAAAATCATTTGATTATCTTAACTGTACACCAGTTAGGTGATTTTTAAAATCCACTTGCTCCACAACAGGTTCACTTTGAATAATTCCCCTGGCAAACTAATTTAATTTATAGGTACTTATAGTGAGAAAGTTCTTATTATTTTCTAAAAGATTTTTTGAAGCTTATTTTGTTTATAAAGATCAAAAGAATACTTTAATGTTCTAAACATAAGTTTCTGGGTTACCGTTTGGGCATTTCACTAATTGAATCAAATAACTCAATCGCTCACTATTTATCATAGTCAAGCAAATCATGGATAATCTCGCTTAATTCTCCAAAATATTTTACAGACATCTGATTATTTCATTCGTTAAATACAATCATAAATTTAACACTAGTTTTCAAATCATTTTCTGCGATTTAATAGTGTGCTAGTACAGTTCATCGTGAATGTACTCCACAGTCCTGTTTTACTATATATCTGTGAAGCATGGTCTATGAAATTTAAGAACCTGTATAGGTTACTAGTATTTGGTCATAGATATTTTCAAATCATTACTCGTATTATAGTAAAAAACCGAGTTTGTAATGTTAAGATTAGCTGTGATATGGCTTAAATTCGCTCCCAGTAGGCTAGTTGGATGTTTTTTTCCCGTAAATCTCAACTTCATTATTGTATTTTCGAACCATATTCTCTATGCTTAATCTTTCTAATTGTTATTGATACAACTATTGTTTCTTGTAAGTTTCATCTCACTTTATCAGTTAGTCATAGTCAACATAGAGTCTGAGACAAATATGTGTCGTTCTGAGTTTCCATAACACAATAGCACAATGAAAGAAAAATTAACAAGATGAGTAGCTAAGGAATCGAAGTACTGTAATAGCAATGATAACCAGAAAGAACAACTACATTCTCCTTCTTTAATGTCAGAAAGAATGTTGTTCGAAAAAAACATGAAAATGTATGTATGAAGGAACACTCAGACTCTATATTTGGAGGAAGGAAATCCATCTGCTCCGTTGCGGCCAATTCTAAGCCACGTTACGCAACGTCTCCAATAATAGATTGCTATTATCCATTCAGATTGTCTGCATCTACTAACTTGGCTCAGATCAACAGTCAATGACTTCATAGACTAATACCACCCACCAGTCAACATCTCACTACGCTAATGTAGTATGACAACTCAATCCAGTGCATATTTGTATCATGTACTAGGCTGACGACGTATAACGGGTATTTACTTTTTGTAAAGAGGATTTGTTGAAGTATATCTTTCCCAGTGTATATGATGTATCACTGGACCATAAACAATATACACTGTCTATACACATTGCTCCTATCTTACTGGTGATTATGAAAATACACTTATACCAAAGATGTTTACCGATAAATCAACCAATTTTGTCTATCAGATCCATTTCAGTAATTATTCCTCCCTACAAATATCAAAATAATTTCATACCTGGTTTATTATTATTATGGTCATTTATGTTCACTATTTTTAATTGGGACAATTGTTCCTGTCTAAACATAGTATACGTATAATTTTTCTGTTAGCCGAGAAGGTGATGATCGAGTTCAAAATGATGGGCTCGCTACTGACGAAAATACTTCTATTGAGGAAGCACATATTTTACGTCAATTCACGGAGGAACGTATTGAAGAATTTCATACATTGGCTCGTAAACCTGATTTATATGAACGACTTGCTGCTGGTATCGCACCAACAATTTATGAAAACGAAGATATTAAAAAGGGTATTCTCCTACAAGTAGGTTTCATTTTTTTAGATTCGTGTACTTGACTACAAGCTAGTGATACCTGCCTACCTGGTTAGCTGCCCGAACTGAAATAGATAGAGTGGAGTTCGAACCTGGGAGTTATTGTCAAAATGTCCAACGCTTTATGTACCTAACCGCACTCAGAAATGTACAACTTATGTAGATACAATTACAACAAACGATATATTAGAATTGTATAGAATGCTTTTTTTCACACTGACTGCAATTTAATAAATTATATATCTAAAGTGAAAGTAATAGTATATGTTAGACAAGTTCAATCGTAACCTCATCACTTTACCAATATGGTGTTGCTCTTTGTAATTCGTAATAATGTTTTTTATGCTCACTAAATGCATACTATTTCACTAAGATTGGATTGAACTTCTTTCTCAGTTCATCAAGTACACGTTTCAGTCTTTTAGGATTGGCTTATTTATTAATTATTTAAACACATAAATATTGGTACAAAGGGGCATCGAATACATATGCACCATACAAGTCACTTGATTTGTGTGAGGGCTGTGATACTGCCCGGGTGCCCAAACCAAGGCAGGTGGTTTCCTTAGCCAGCCACTACCCGAACCTTCAACCTGGAGGTCTAATCCACAAAGTCGTAGAGCAACGTTAGGAGATGCAGTCACATGGTAGCCGGTGACCAGCGATTCGTTCGTACACCATTTGTTCCTTCAGAATACTGGGGCCCATGTGCACTATTAGTTTGGAATCAGAGTTTTCCAACTCCCCTAGGTGGACCCTCCGTGTCCACCAACCCGGTTAGAGCATCGGACATTCTCTTTTCGTCCTCTCAATTTCGTAAACAACACCTGTAGTGCGAGAAGGCACTGAGTAGGACTTCCTTATCAATGTGTGTATACGCGTGGACATTTGAGAGCATTTTGAGAGGTAGAGGTGACTTTCCCAACCCTTGGCACTTGTAGGCAAACAAGTAGTAGGTATTACTAGCCTGCTCACACTTTAGGTGTATTTCTCAGAGCTGAGTACATAATAACTTTTACATGTTGAGTTACACCATCTTTTTAAATTTCTAGAAACTGATTGAGTAAACATCCAATCAATCTATTAAAAGTAAATTTAGTTGTCAACACCCAACCCGATACTTTTCAATTATTTTATTAGTGTCTAATTCATGTTATATTATTCTGTTGCCTCTATTATAGTTATTTGGTGGTACACGTAAAGACTTCAGTGCTAAAGGACGTGGTGATTTTCGTTCTGAAATCAATATACTTTTATGTGGTGACCCAGGTACTTCAAAATCTCAACTTCTGCAGTATGTATACCGTCTTACTCCTCGTGGTCAATATACTTCTGGCAAGGGAAGTTCTGCTGTTGGTTTAACGGCCTACATTACAAAAGATGCAGAAACGCGTCAATTAACACTGCAAACTGGAGCATTAGGTCAGTTGGTTAATGAACAGTGTTTGTTATTCATCATTGTTCAAAACTCATACACAAAATTCTTTTTCTTTCATTTCATTATGTAACACGCTACATGTCATTAATTCTTATAAACCTAGCTGAACGAAATTTAGTATGCAGTTGTGTGGAGAACAAGTATACTGATATGTACAATTGACCGATCACTGAATAGTGGTTTGTGTCATATTTGTAGGGTCCGTTTAGTTTTCATCATATTCTATCGATTAAATTCCAATATAAACACTACTCCACGCAATCAACATTATGTACACTGATCCCACAGCGAGCGTCAGTCTTCAAAACTCCAGGTACGTTTTATTGACGGGTACCAACTAGCACAAAAGCTAGGTTCAGGGTTTCCTCCCAGCTTCCTCCAACCAATTAATATGTTGACATATCATTTTAACTTCAACTAAATGCACTTTTAAAAGCTGTGTTCACTGGTTTCATCCGCCATAGAACCAATCAAGAAATAAAACCAACTTCAAAGATAACAAACGAATAAATATATTCAAATATTTCTAAATCATAGCCAATCAGTCCATTGTAGACAACGTGTAGAAAGTGGCAGAAAATGCACATCAGTCAAAGTTTCTAAACTAATTGCCTCATCAAGCTAATCGCTCTCTTACTTCCAGAAACTTTGTTTATTTCACAATTTGTTTCTAAATGATCTCGGTTTTTTCTTATTCTTAGTGTAGCCGATAAGTGTTAAAGCATTCTCTAACCCTTGTGTGTGAAGTTAACTGACTTTGTCCATTCAGATAGCGGATCTTAGACCTGATACTTTATGTTCAGACTTGGTATCGTTTCACCAATACCTGCAAATGTGTAGTTGGCTCTTTAAAATTACATGTAATCATATATCGTTATTTTCATGTGTTAAATCTTTTGTTATCCGACTCAGATACACTTATTACTTAGTATTCTTCGGATATTTTATTTCACTCGACTAGTCCTCCAAATCAGAACATAACTTGGACAGGTACGTAGTTATATCCCACATAAACCAAGTTGGATGGGAATTAATCCCGGTGAAAAAAACATAGAGTTTTACACAAAAAGATTTTAAAGCCTTCTCCAACATAATTTTCTATGGAACATGCTTAAATCCAACCTATATCCTGCTAACATTATGTATATTTTTCTTACACATAATTAACATTCCTTGACCACAACACTAATTAATCGTTAACATCCAAACGTGACATCTTAATTCAGCATGCCATAATTTGACAAGAACTAGTTAACTCGTTAATTTCCTAGTCTTTTAATTATTTAAAGCTTCTAAACTGTTGTTCAACCATCTAGACTCTATTTCATGAAGCAAACTTCACTTACCTTGACTAAAGGATTCATTTGTTGCAGCTAACTACCATAAAACATGTACAGTTTACTACCAACTACACGAATATGCATGGAATCACTACATTGCATTTCTCTTATTCTCAGTTTTCTCTTTTTAAAAACAACTTACGTTTATCAAACAGTTCTGACACCCAATTCCTTAATCATCTCCAAGTTTGATTCATTTATACATTTAAACTGAACCTTTAAAGCACATTTAGTTTAAAACTTCCCATTCTCCTCGGGTCGTGTTTCTTTGTCTGTCTTTTAATAAGTTACCAGAAGCTTTACTGTTTACAATATTATACTTACCTCAGCTAATTTCCGTTTATCAGCAAATTCAGTTCATGTGATTTCAACGTGTAATATGGTCATTAGTGTCAGCTATTTGGAAAAAACCCGACTTGGATTTTACGAATAGTGACTCTCAACGATATGCAAGCTACTTGGGTTCTATTGAGTTAGTTAACAATCATTATCTCTAAGTATGATGTGTACTCTCTACTTTCAAGATGAAATATAGTTCTACAAGACTGAAATGTGCCTGTATTTGCAATCATCCTTTGGGGAAAGCTGTTAGATATCGTTGAAAAGCAAAGGTCAGGTATTCGAAGTTTCGGTGCAAATAGTCGTACTTTACGAGCTCTATCATCGTTGCTTCTGAAGTATTCCCTATATGATGTAATGACACCAGGGTCTTGCAGTGTGTATTCAGGTATAATAATGAGGAGTTAATTGATACCACTATTTTGAACCGCCCACTTAATTGATTTGGTTATGTTACGCAAGTGTTATTTCGACCGCTTCCACACCGCTCATCAATTTTCAACACCTCAGCTAGATGGAAAGGTAGAGATGTCCCAATTTATAATATGGCGTTGTAAAGTGAGGGATAACCGCATAAGACTAGTGTCTGTCGGTCTATCATTGCCCAGTGAGTTCCTAAAGATCAAATCAGACATGGTTCAGAATGGAAATAAGTGGAGTTGTCTATTATATTCATGAAAGTAAGATGATACTTTGTAACTAAATGAAATTAACAGCGGTTATTTTTTCTCATTAAACCATCTTTTATTAACCTATAAGTTCATTGTTTTTCTTCTAATTACATTATTTCCAGTCTCATTTCCGAGTGAATACAATTACACCAAGCGTTTGTAGCTCTAAAGTAAGGTCCACTTCTCATGAATTAATATATTCATTACACGAATGTAAATTTAAGATGAAATCCTACCACAGAACTGCACGTACACTACTACTTGCTCTCACAATTCCGTTAGTATATAATGTTGCTCTTTTGATTCCTACAATCAGATACGTGTTATCCTTGTTTTGAAAATTTTCAACATTATTTATTTATTTCATCATAACGTAATTATAGTGTTGGCTGATAATGGGATATGTTGTATCGACGAATTCGACAAAATGTCCGATTCAACTCGTTCTGTACTACACGAAGTAATGGAACAACAAACTTTAAGTATTGCTAAAGCTGGTATTCTTTGTCAACTTCATGCTAGGACTTCAATTTTAGCAGCTGCTAATCCAATCGGTTCTAAATGGGATCCTAGCAAAACGATTATTGACAATATACAGGTAACTGCTCCATTTTTTATCGAATTCTTCTTGTAACTATACTTAACTTTCTTAAGTAGTAGCATCGCGAACTGACCTTAGTTGAATAGCTATTGAGAATTAAAGAAGACTAGATAGACTCTTCATCCTGATATGAACTTCTTCGACAAAGCGCATGCACAACATCGCCTAGAATCAGACCTAGGATCTTCAGGTCTCATGGCGAGTGCTTAATATTTAGATCTTTGAGTTAACGTCTAATGGTTTACGTCTATGACCAATCAGTTCTCCACTAGTAAAGCTCATCCGTTTTGAATGTGAGTCAGTTACGCACCAATGACACAACAGATATAGGTCATTCAATATCATCTCAGTTGTCTTGGTGTTAAGACGCAAGGGTCCAGTAACCGATTTATTATGGGATTATGGATGCAACGCGCTGATGAGTCTCATGCTAAGACAAAACAGTTTTACTCAGTTTTTCCCGATTTACTATGATTATCTAAGTTCAGTCTGTGTTATCAACTATCAAATTCAATAATTTCTATAAACTGATTACATTAATAATATTGATTTACAAAAGTTTCGACAATGTATATCATATGAATTCTTTTATTTTGATCATTTGACTGAGAATTACCTTTATATGGGAAATACCCTGATCATTTATAATTTTCATAATGATTTAACTCTCGTCTATTAACAAATAACTTAATTTGTTATTTTTTCTGTCACTATAAAATAATACATAACTTGAGGAATTTTTCACATATTCCTCTGTATTAATCTATACTGAACTTAAAAGAGTCTTGTTGTTGAAGTGCTTTATTTTAAATAATCTTAACCAGTGTCAGAGATGGAAAACCGTTTTCTTTTGTATCAAACAGCTGGATAAAAGCCAAATACTACTACGTTATGATTGGGAGCACATATATAAAGTATTTTTCATTAACATACCAAAATTCGTAACTTACTAACGAAACTAATAAACGACTTACACGATATTCAGCGTTAATAGGTATCACTTCATCAATGAATCGAGTCCGACTATACCCCGTTTTCCACTTATCCTTTGTAATCAGGAGTCAGCTGTCTGACTCTAGATTCATATCTGTCAGTTCGGATTTGAATTTTAAATTATTGAAACCCAAACATGAGAAATATTCCTAAATATCACCTGGTCATAAGATGCAAAAAATTTCGATACAAAATTACTCTAACTCTGAAACGTATCTTCTATCAGGGATCCTAAAGCCCATGTATGTTACTAGTTTAAAATCAGGGTTTTCCAACCTCCCTAGGTGGATCCTTCGTATCCATCATTCAAGTTTAAACACAGGGCCTTTACTTCTCTTCCTCTCACTTTCGTAAAAAGCACAATCTCACCACGTGAATAAAGTGAGTAAGACATCTCTGATACTTGCTACGAACATCTAGGTATATGAGAGCATTTTAATAGGGAGAATGAGCTCTCTTCAACCGTACCGTGGCAATTGGGGAGAGGCTTTAAAATGATAATTTATTTTGTTCATTAGCATGTTGTTTCTTAGTAACTTGTTGACCTAGTTATTGCATCGTTTCTTTATGTTTTTTTATTATTTTTAGTTACCTCATACTCTTCTATCAAGATTCGATCTCATTTTTCTCATATTGGATCCACAAGATGAAGTTTATGATACAAGATTAGCCAGACATTTGGTTGGGTTGTATTATCGTGGTACTACTCCAAGTCAGATTGATAGCAGTCAGGATATTCCAACCAACAGTAATAATAATACTCGAGGTACACGTAGACCGCGTCCAGGAGCTGTTCTACTGGACATGGATAGTCAAACTGATGATGACCCATCATTTGTAAACGGGAGACTCTTGAAGGATTATATAGCCTATGCTAAGGTATTCATTGTTGTACCACTTACAAATTTTAATCCTTAAGGTAGACACAGTCAACTTTCAGTGAAATTTACCCGAAACATTTAAACAGAGAGGCCTTGTATTATGAATAATAATGAGTTCAAATAGAAAATCTGTTTTAATAATTCTATGCTTACCTTAACAGTTAAGTATATCCTATGTTTCTAAAAGATATGTTTATTGAATACCTTACAAGGTTTTTTTTACCAATTGAAATCGTTTGTACTCATTTCATACTTTAAGAGCATTAGTCACTGAATAATAACTAATACAATACTGTTTTTATCTAAAATTACCACTATGTACCATTGGTTTGAAATCAGAGTTTTCCAACTCCCCTAGGTGGGCCCTCCATATCCACCAAACCGGTTAAAGCACCAAACATTCGCTTTTCGTCCTCTCAGTTTCGTGGACAACACGCCCGCTACGAGAAGGCGGTGAGTAGGACTTCCTTATCAATGTGTGTATATGCGTGGCCATTTGAGAGGTAGAGGTGACTTTCCCAACCCTCGGTTGTGCCAGGGTATTTGGGGGTCGGTGATTTCAAAATATATTTTACTTAAATTATTGTCTCGCGTAATACAAATAGAGTATTCCCTCTTCAATAGGTTTGCAAATATATACTCCTACTAACTGATAATCGATTGTAATCATATGTCTTTTTTATTTGGACGATGCATTTGACTTTGCTAATCGGGAGTTCTTTTCAATCAGTGAAAGGGTATATTAATAAATCACATGAATATGTTGAAATTCCTTTACTTGAGCACTTGATCGCATCATATTTTATGGCAAACTGTTTTATCCATATTATGTTTTGTGGCCGTTTAATTCTGCTGTTAATATATGTGCTTCTTATACGCGAGTTTAATGAACTACTTGAGTGAAAAAACCAGGAGTAAGTAGAAAGATTCTGTTAACCGAATCGAGAATATATATCCACAACACATTCTTAAACGTAGATGTATGTCCTTCAGATAACGAAGCCAAATCTTAACCAGTAGGGTTTGTGTCTGTCAGCATCTCATGATCATTTGTTGTATGTACGATTAGCCCAGCGTGTCAATCTATTTTTTCCCTAGGCATTCTTCTAGAATTAATAAGCATTCACATTAAGTCCTTCATCAGAACCGTAAAATGTTCAATAACAAATGAAGGCAGATTTTCTTAGTAATCTCTAGTAACAATAATAACCAATAAAAATGATATTTCCACCTTAATTTATGTTTAAGATGAAGTACTTTCCCAAACTAACGGAAGAAGCCGGTGAATATTTAGTTCGTGAGTATGTAGAAATGCGAAAACTGGGTTCAGGTCGTGGACAGGTAACTTAATGATTACTTTATTGCATCACCACTTTTTCATGTCATCAGTGTTGTATCAGTTAACTTATATACTTTTAAAGACTACAATACAAAATAATTTTTTATCACAGGTCCTCTAAATATTGATTCTTATTATCGGCCGTTTTGGCGATTGCTGAATTTCATAGTTCACATCATGGACTGATCTTACTTAAACAACCACTAGAAAACAGGACACATTCGAAAGCTGTTTTGTCTTAGTGTGGGGCTCCTTAGAAATGTAAACCCACCATTTTGCTGGGGATCTGACCCAGATCTCGAGGTTAGTACTGCTGAAAAGTCCCATGTTTGGACTGGTTTTCAATAGTTGTCTGACTATGATTAGTTCGTGGTGTAAACTAAAAATATCGATTTCCCACTTGTTTTAACAGTTAGTTACAGCTTTTGTTGTTAAGAGAGATGCAAAAAACTAGGAGAACATGTTAAGATCAATACTACTCCTTGGCTTCGTTTTAACTTGGAATTATTCTTAAAAATCATCACATGTTCAGGTCGTATAGCCCCGTTCATCAAAGGCTATTTCAAAGTTTGGATTTTTAATCCTCCTACATTGGTTGGAGTTCTTGTTCCTTGAAGTTCTGTTATTCCAAACAGGTCAACGGGATGGCAGTGAAACCAAAGTAACAGATATACAGTCTGCTGTACTTGTACTGCCAACGGTACTTGGGTTTAACAGCAGTATGATGTTTCGTGCGGACAATAAACGTGTCCATCCATGATATCTTTTCACAAATGAAAGTGGGGTTAAAATCTGAACTATAAGACTAAAACACTTCACCTTATCCCACAAATTTCCGTCACCTGAGGTAGGATCTGAAAAGTAGGAAGCTAATACATTTGCAACTTCTCACAAAGGCCAGTGCATTACCAGCCTAAAGCCTCTGCGTTCATGTTCTTAGTTTATCAAGATCACCCTTTACCCAGTTTTCTTTCCAGATAGCTTTAGAAAAAATATCCTTCTACTATTCAGACAACTGTCAAATGACATTCACTTACATACCTTTAACAAAATCCAAGCTCATTCTATTCATGTTTTAAAAATAGGTCTATAAAATTTAATACGCAGAACTCAATTTCAACCGGTGTTTGTTGGTGGTATATGTGCATGCTGTTCTGATAGCCTCGATATAACCATTTTATCACCGTTTTTATAGAATAAGTAGATTGTGGCTAGCAGTTAAATCTAAGACGCACGTTTCATCTTACTTGGATCTCGTCATTTGGATGTGCCTACATCCTACTGTTGATGCTAATATACTGACTCGAACCCCTACAAATAAATACCATATCCTTTAAATAGGTTAGTTGGATTATGAACCCAGTAGCTCAATAGATAATGAGTTAGTGTTTAAATCAGACGGCATTAAGTTCGTTTTCGGGAGTGCAAAGTGACACTGGGATGCAGGCATATTCAGCTGACGAATGCCAAAATAAAATGAAATGTACATCCCGCATTCCATTTTTAGCTATAATCAATTTATCGTTTAAATGTGTAGAGTTGTTTTAGAAACAGATTACCAAAGTTTTAAAGGCTGTAAGTTATTCAAATTTACAATATTTATCCAAAAATATTGAAACAGTTTTGATGAATTCTACTCCCACTTACACCTTTCATCCCTCATGTAGAAGCATAGCCGCCCACCAGATGTTTTTGTGACTTGGATCGCCTGATCTACTAAGGGGGATGGGACAGTGCGTGTGTGACAAGTCTTCTTATTGAACACTTGAATCGGTTTCCTAAGCTCTTTAATAACCCAAGGCTAAATTTACACGAGAAAAACGGCGCGTAATGTGAAAAAGGTCTTTACTCCAAGGTTAGGCTATGTACAGAAAATCGAGAGTACTTATGGTATTTCAGATGGCCTTAGGCTTCTGAAACCATACTAAACATAGTAGCAGGACAGATCACCATCCAATTAGAAATGTGACTCGCGAATCTTCACTTTCTGTATGTGTCCGAGAAACTTCTGTTCAACGATGATTAGATAAAATGTTTCCTGGGATTTCCGGGCCGTTCTGGATTTTTTCGAGAAATACTTGGTATCTCTTCAACAGTGTGCAAAGTTCAAGGATAGTTGTGTGCTATATGCATACAATCTACCCCGTTATTGTTCCTAACTTGACTTCCAGTCTAATACAAAAATAATAATTATTATAATTTCATATAACTTACTTCATACCTGATAAGACGAACACAAGTTTTAATATCACTATGTATTATACTGTAATAAACTTTGCTATTCTCACCATTAGTCTATCTAGTTTAACTTATAAGGTATACATAAGACTTTCTTATGCTGTATTATTACATTTCCATTCTATTTCATTCTCAGAATATATTACAAAATTGAAATGAATTTGTTTTGTTTTCTTAATCTCATCTATTCTTGTAATTAACTCTTATAATTTTCATATTTATTGTTATTAATACCAACCTTATAAGATATCCGCATATCCTCGTCAACTTGAATCACTTGTACGTTTAGCTGAAGCTCATGCTCGTTTACGATTATCAAATCATGTTACGGCTGATGATTGTCGTGAAGCTCGACGTTTACAACGTGAAGCGTTAAAACAAGCAGCTATTGATCCGCTTACTGGTACTATCGATATCAATATTTTGACAACAGGTATACAACATTTAACTACTTAAAACAGTAGTCTAGATTTAATTGTAAAATTAATATCAATCTAAATTTTCATAATATTTTAATCTGTCCTATAAACCTATCTTCTGTTTGTTTTATAGTAGTTAATAAATTATAGCTGTAATCAAATATATTAAGGCTAGTCTACCATTTCATCCGAAAGTATAGATATGATCTTAGTTAAAGAACCATTTGAAGCCTGGAAGCATTTAATAACTTTTTCATCGTAGTATCGTCCCCATCATTGCATATCCAAGATCCTACCAGGAACAGAGTGAGCTCCTTGAGGTTGTATAACTAAGGTTAATCCTTAATGTAAATCAAAATTCAGTAATTTCCAGAAACCCCAATATGCTGATAATATTGTAGTTAATCATGAATAATTCCAGGAGTTCTATTGCGAAGCCATAACTAACTGGTGAAGTCCAATTATATTGATTGTAATGCACTAACCCACCAGTAGCATTGTAAGTTGTTTGTGCAATAAAGCGAATCGGCTGAAGTTAGACGTGTAAACTGTTGAATACTGACTCATTAGTCTAAAGGCTAACTGCATGTCGCGATATATAAAGGTCCCGTCTTCTTGGTTGCTCACTCCGGCGGAGTTTTGCACTAAAAAGAAATATCTGTACAATGCTTCCTGATTTTCTAAGGTTATGTAACTGACGTCAGTTCATGAGGTATACATTTTAAAACATTTTCTTAGACTACATTATAAGCATTACTTTTAGTGAAATATAATACAATATTACCCTTACAGATCACTATTATACAATATTTATCAAAATTCATCCTTTCCCTCGATTGTTTTTCATTTTTAACTCTTCTTTTTTTAAATAGGTATCAGTAGTAGTGTACGTAAACGACGTGAAGAAATGGCAATGGCAATATGGTCACTTCTTGAAGAACGTCCTCGTGTATTAACTTTTGTTTATTCACGTGTACTAGAAGATTTACGTGCACGTTCTGAACGTATGATTACACGTGAAAATTTTGAAGATGGATTAAATTTCTTAAAAAATACAAATAAAATTGATTGGGCCGGAAATACTATACGTAAACGTTAGAAAAACAACAACTTTTAATTGTCTTTTTTTGTATGCAATTGTTTTCTATTCGAAAAAAAACTACAACAACAAAAGAAAAAAACCTTTACAGTGCAGATTTTCGTATTTTTTGTATTTTTGTTTGTTTGTTTAAATAAAGTGTTTATTACCTTAGATAATTATTTGGTCTTCTGACTGAATATCAGCCACATTCTAAGTGTAAGAGATCTAATCATACTACTACCTAATTGCTCAAATCGAAGTACATATAGAAGAGTTCATATCTGAAACATTTGGGGCAGTTCAATGTTTTAACCCCCTTAACCACTAGGTCATAGCTTTATTTCTTCTGATTGACTCATTGGTCAAAATTATTATAAATAATTCACTTTGTATTATAAGCGAATAGGATGATGCAACTTTGCTAACTTGTTATGATGTTTGCTAATGCATGAATAAGGTCAAGACCATTAATTGAATTAAATTCAGTCTGATTGAGTCTCAATATAAAGACGATTCTTGTTTGCATTCGTTTGTGCGTGTTACTTGACGTTTTCGTAGTGTGCGTGAATTATACTTCAATTTTCAATCCATAAGTCAATTAAATTTCTCAGTGTAGGGGGTAGATGGTATCTTTCGTTTCCACTACCCTATGACATAGACCTACATCGATCGGAAAGACAGTATGCTTAAGTTGTTGTAGGTTTATTACATTGTTGACCATGTTTATGTCTACAATTACATAATAAGCTATTGATATTGTGAAAGTATCTGTGGTAAGAGATCATTATATTGAAATGTGTTTTGTAAATTCAGTTGAATTTAATTTGACGCCTGGTAAACATGATTCTTTCACTTTTATGTAAGTAGTATAAATCAGTTCCAACGATAAACCTGACACCAGTTAACTTTGATATGATGAATATTCTCAGTCTAGCTATGAACCAGATGCTCATTATTCGACAGTTGTGCATCAATTAGTTTTTCTGAGCACTACTACTCAGTAATGGAGACCGAAATAAGTTTCTTGAAATAAGATTTAATACAAGTCAATACACCTTCGGTTAGGTTTATAACAGTAACTTCTTAACTACTGAAATACAAGTAGCTACGCGATTCTTTTCACATAAGTAGTGTTTGATTATCTTATCACCGGGGGATAACTCTGTCGCAAGATATACCTTGCAGACGAGTACCTACTAACCCGAAACCTGAATCCAAGGCTTTCTACCGATTACTTCCAATCACAGAAGATTGGTGATGTATGGAAGTTAGTGAACATGAGTTCCAGCAACATTTTTTTTAACGATCAATGAAAACCTGGTCATTTCTGTAGGTAAAATAGTGTTATGATACAAAAGTGGAATAAAATAACTTAAATATTTTTGGAGGAAAGTTTTCATCAAAGTTCGGCTACAAGCTCACTCCTATACTAATGGTCAAGGCAGAGAGAATAATTGTACAAACTTCTTTTGGATACAAATGTTTGGTTTGTGAACATCGATTCTGATAGCTTCAGCAATGTGCAAAATACAAACTCGTAAAGCTTTGCAATAAACTTGATGGAATATGGTGGATAACCTTAAGTGTTTTATTCAAATCAACTTGGTGACCTGTGTTCACCAAGTGAGCGAGAATAGAACTCTTAATCACTCTTACCTGTCCTTTTTCAACCAAGACGGTTGGTGTTCTGGTATGCGATGACAAACTTGCCTAATTGTACGTCCTATATAACTGGCTCCACAGAAGCAGTTAAATTAGTAGATACAAATGGATGTGGCGAATTCAGGCAGTCTGTCCTTATCAACGTTTCTTATTATGGGACGGATGTAGAAAACGACACTGAGTCTGGCTGCATTAAATATTTTCTGTACCTCCTTTCTTAACCTTTGAGTCACAATTTCCTCAGTAGCATCACTTAGAAATTTCGATTTTTTGAACAGCACCTTCGAGACGGTAGATGAATTTGGTTTTCTTTTCATCTCTTTCATGTGTTTGTTGATGAATTACTTTGCGCATCCATTTCTACTAAGCAGGTTACCAATATTACTCCCTATATAATTATTCCGCTACGTAACTACTTGATGAGTATTGTTGCAATGTTGTAAATCATGTATTAGCGTAGTTGTGATGCAAAACTAATTAGAAAGAAATTTCTCTTGATTCGTTCCTAATTAGTAAATGTTTGTGTAACGGCATTTTTACGCTTTCCTAATTATGATCCTTCATTTAACTTGGTAATTATTGTCATACATCTTACCGTATTTAAATCATTATTAATTAATCATATTTTTCAGTATGAGGTTGTATTGTTCATTGAATTTTGATGAAATCATGGATTGATCTTAGACAATCATTGAAAATCTAGGAGCGTTGGGCAACCATTGGGACTCCTCAGCAGTAAATATTCGTGACTGAAATTATCATGTGCTCACGAGTGATTAGCTCCAAGAGAAATATTCGGAGTTTTAGTGAGAAGTCGTGACCGGTAGAATTAATCAGTTTTGGATGTCAAGCAGTTACCCACCGGAGGCAATGAAAGATGGTCGTGTATTAATTGAAGTTCAACATAAGCACAGTTGGATGGTAGATCAGTGATCTAGGATCTAAACATTTGCACACAAGGCCGAAGATCCTGGGTTTGGTTCCTTGTTGAGAGATTGTGGTTGCAAACTGCTGAGAAGTCCCATAATGGGATGAAACAGCCGGCCAATACTTCCAGATTTTCAATGGTGGTCTAACTTAAATCTATTAACGATTTGAATAAAATCGATTATGCACATATCACGTATGACCTAGTTATCTACATATTGTAGTTTCCTGCTTGAGCTGTTTTATGCCTGTGTAATTGATGTATGTAATTCTCCAAGCTGTTGAGTCATGATGGCAATGCAATCATAGGTGAATCCATTTGCTTTCTTGGTGTTCTGACTGGGCACTTGGGACACAAGAATCTACTCGAACTAATAAAATTTAGGATTTCCGGCTAATTGTGATATTGGCTAGAGAGAAAATCATTGATCTGGTCGGAACTTCTCATTGGCAAACACTGTAATTGAACGACCCAATTAAGTGGGTATGTAAGAATTTGTAGTCATAACAAATTGTGATTCATGGCGAGATAGATCACGTGCCGCGCTAGGTCACATGGTAGGTGAGAGAAACGAGTGCCCATGGACTTTTTATGGGTGATTGAGTTACTCACCTAGCCAAAATTACCACTCACATACCTAGTTTTTGAATCAGTTAAGATAACTTACATGAGTGTGTGATTTATGTGCATTACTGCTCAGCTTTTATTATGAAAGCTACCTTTGCAAATTTTGAACCTATTACGGTAAATTTGTACGATCAACATCCTAATTACGTACATTTTATGACTGACTATTTATAATGTGTCAGACTTGTATTACCTGTAAGTTTAGTAAGAATAACATAACGAAGTTGCCCAACTAGAGTTGCGAGGGTTTTCTTCCCGAGGAAATTGGTACTAGTTTTATGGATTCAACTTCTATATGGTCACTAAGTTCTAACATTCTACTAACGAGGACTTCACCTAACGTCAATGGGACGAATGATCTTGGCTTGGCCAATAACACAAATGGCCGACACCGCAAAATCGCTTAGATATCTTAACGCCTATTGGCCCACATAATTCTCCATATATATATATATATATATATATATATATATATATATATATATATATATATATATATATATATATATAACCATATGCTCACTAGTGACTAGCTTCGTAAGGGAATTCTCGGTGTTCTAGCGAGAAGCCGTGATCAGTGGAGCTAATCCATGTCAGGCAGATACAGGTATTTACCTCGGACAATGAATGATGGTCGCGCAATTTCACGGATTGGTTGTGGTTAGACATTAACACCATTGGATGCTGACCCAGTGGTCTAGATTTTGAGCGTTCGCGCGCGAAACCGAAGGTCCGAGTCCCGCGTGCGGAATCGTGGGTGCCCACTTCTGAGGGTCCCATGCTATAACGAAACGGCCGTCCAGTGCTTCTAGGTTTTCACCGGTGGTCTAACATCAATCAGTTCATGATCTCAATCAAAACTTAGTAAATCATAACTGGTACATAAGTAGGTCATATATATAAAACATAAATATAGTTAATAAGTAATAGTTTATTAAACAATCAAAAACACATACCAACTGTTAAATGACAGCTTACGATTAGGACAATAATAAAATACCGTAACCTGAAACATTTAATGAATGTACATAAAAATAACTCCCTGTAGAATAGTTTTGAAAGTTCAATCTTTTTCACTTATTATTCACTCATATCTAACAATTAACATATATACCTTAGCTGAGTTGTGAAATTAATTTTATTTAGGTAAGTGTGAAATACAGCTAACTTGATATTATTTCTAGATCTATTCTTCCTTGTTTTCGATTAAAATCATGAACCGACCTAAGTTAGACGTAGTTAGTTACGCATAGTTCTATAAGCTGTTATGAATTTCGTAATTACCTGACTTTTGTCCTCGCCTTCCTCTTACAGTAGTTCTCTTTTGAATGTGTCCACGAAGCGTTCTGCCTGTCCATTTTATTGAGGGTAATAAGATGGAGAGCGTATATGTACAATCCCATTGATGTTGCAGAAGTGCTTGGATGATTCTGCAGTGAGTTGTGAGCCGTTATCGGTCACTAAAGTCTCCGGAACTCCAAAGCAGCTAAACAGTTCAGATAACTTGCTAATTGTTTCACTGGCTGTGCAATTTGCCATGGCATAGAATTTTGACCATTTTGTGTGTGTATCCACTATGACTATAAACATTCTTCCTCGTACTGGGCTGGCAAAATCTGCGCGCAACCTCTCCCAGGGACTATTACTTTTTTCCCATTGTGCTAGAGCCTTGTAAGACTTTTATCTCGACTGCATTGACGTGAATGAACCGGTTACCGTTCTCTACTATCGAGGTATCATACTTCAAATTCACTAACCTTTGGCATTCGGTAGTCACTTCCTGAAGGGTCATGCTAGAACAATGTTCGAGCTTGCTAAGGATTCTTGTTCGCATGTCAGCATCCTCGGGTGAACGCAGACTACAGACAAATACTAGGCATTTAAACCGGTCTTCAGTCATGAAAGATAATTTGAATCTCTCACATTCTAGGTTCATAATTCCTGCATGTTTCACCCAGT